ATAAATGAAGAATATTTTAAGAATAGGAGAATTCAGATGTATCCCCATGAGCTGATTTAGCTCATGACGAACAGCATCCACGGTCAGAGGTATAATACAGCTTAAGGTCTAGAAGAATTTGCCTTATCAGAATCTATGTCCAATATACACTATGCTTAATAACAAAAGCTATTTTCCAGGATTGAAAATGAAATTATGGAAAATAAGATTTGATTCGGGAAAGAAATAGGGTGAATCCATCCATTGGCCAGAGTAATCATACCATCTTACCAACACCAGGTGATCCAACAAATATAACTTTATCCACAGAGGAGACCAACGCTTCTCCTGTCTCTGCAAACCTGGCAAGGAATGTATGTATGGTTCATGCCAAAGAAACAAAAATACCACAAAATAAAGGAATCAGGGACGATAAGAAGGCTTTACCCTGTTATCACCTCAACAAGATCCTCTGGAGCACCTATGGCAGCAAGGGCTGATTGGATGATCCGGAAATAAAAGCATCCAGACCAACTTGCATGTTCTGATATCTACAAATCAGTAGAACATGGTTTCCTGTCAATGGAAGAAACCTAAACATAGAAGTCAAAGTACACATGTCGGAATTCCAACTTTCTAAGAATTCCAATTATTTATTTTCAGTTTTCACCTTGTCATGGAATAAAATAACCACTATATACCAACAAGATTGTATGTAGAATATCGGTTTGCAATGGGATATAGCCTAATTCCTGTAATACTACCAAAATCAATAATAAAATCTAAGAAGACAGAACACAAGCATGAAGAAATTTTTGGATAAGCAGGTAGTTCAAAATTGGATACCTTAATCACAATGCCATTTCCAGAGAAGAGTGCTGCCAGCATAGGATTGAAAATGTTGTGAAACGGATAGTTCCAGGAAACAATGGCACCAATAACACCAAGGGGGTGAAATTCTACTCTAGCTCTTTTATGAAGCATTGAACGTCCAGAAGATCTGCAAAATCAGGAGTCATATAAAGCAATACATGGAACTGAACTCAGTCTGCAATTTTCCATTGGAAATATTAATATTAAATAGGCACACGCATTCAAAAAAGAAACAACTTTTTTATGCATGTGTAAAAGGAGCAAAATAAGCAAAACCAAATATTAAGGTAGATCATCCACCATGACAAAAGCCAATTTATGCGAAGGAAAATGACAACTACAGTATTTCATAGTCTCAACAAGACAAGAAAATATAATATGAAATAGAAAATAAAACAATTAAAGCACATACCGGTATTCAGGTTTTAGCCACTTCTCACCCTCTGACAGCAGCCAATTGATCTTCTCGCATGTTGTCATTATTTCTCCTAAAGAAGCGTCTACCATTGTCTTTCCAGTATCACGTGAAGATATCCTAACAAAAACTAGAGTTAAAATATGTCCAATTTGTTATCAAAAGAAACCAAAAATTTACAAAGCTTAGGCCACATGATTTTTTTTTTAAAAAGAAAAGGGCATTTATTAATGTGTGCATGTTACCCCGAATACGACAACCAACATTTTAGTTCTGTAAGTGCTTTTAGATTCTGATATTTTTACATTAAGACCAACTTCATTTCTGGAATATTTCTTCATGGTTTTCCACCAAATCCTCACCAGTCACTGAAAAGTTAAAATCCTCTTTTTACAACCAAGAATAAAAATGCTCTTACTCGCATATAAGTGCCTGATGTCTGATTATATACTGCAAGAGTATGCGCAAAAACTGACGTCTTTGCTTGAAGCTGGTTTTTGCCCACATTTTCTGTGCCTTCCTCACCTTGGCCACCTGCTCCTTGACCTTTCCATACATGCAAAATGATCCGAGTAAATTTCTTTGAATGTTTGAATAAATTTATTAAAAATAGCAAATTATCTTATGATGGTTCACAACATTTGGGCCTAGTGAATTAATATTTCTTCTCATCAATTTGTGTAATGTCATTTGCCATCAATATTTCCATGTGGAAGGATATAAGAGGATCGATTGGCTACTGTGACTGTGAGATACTCCTCCGCTCCTAAATACAAGACCCATTTTGTAGTGTAATTTACGCTACAAAGTGGGCCTTCTATTTAGGACCGGAGGAGTATATAACTTGGTCTATACAATCAGATAATTGGCATAACAAAAGCATATGGAACATTTTGTCAACAACAAAAGTCAATGGGGAACCAGAATAGGGTCAACTTAAGGAAAATGGGACCAAATTCTAGTTGTGCGAGCAATTAACATATAATATAAACGAAGTTTATTGAATTTGAACTTCAACATAAACAAGAATGCAAAAATATCTTAATGAAAACTTTAGGGCACATGTTTAGCTAGAAACTATGACAAGTCAAATTTCCTTCAGCATGGCTTCTTATGTGACTAGTTTATCAACAATGATGAACTTGTACATTCCAAGTCACCTAAACCAATGTCCAAGTCATTTCTTAATATCAAACTCAAACAAAAACTACTAAATATAAAAATTGCATCGTAAATAATTGGCTCTGCTTAGACTAAAAGACACCTCATGTTATAACTCGCAAGCATTTGTCCGTTGCTAAAATGCATTGGTTCACCAACCTCAGTAGGTGTCAGCGCGGGAACATATCCCAAGTATTTCATTGTCGCAGGTTCATAGCATTGAACTTTCTTGCCCGATTGCTGCGCTTGTCCCTCGGAGGTACCTGAGGTAGACGTGATAGGCCAGAGTCTCCGTATTAGAGCATCTTCAACAAATCTCAAGTCATAATATTCAGTGTTATATTGAAAAGAAGTCAGTTCATAAAATGCACTGATTAGCTGACCAAAGTTATACTGGTCAGATAACATTCACTGACCATTGAACTCAAAACGAATTGATTGTTAAAAAGAGATCGGCCAAAATGCCGATGCAGAGCGAATGATCAATGAAGATGGTTATCAAGTAAAAATAAGACTCACATATATAAAGCTATTCTCCTGCGCTTGATTTCCATCATCCAACACTGTCACCACCAAAATTCACATTACAACACATCTTACAGGTGTGAGCACAGAAAGAGAGTGAGAGTGAAAGTACCATCAGATGTATCGACGTCGATGGAAGGAACTTTGGGAGGAATGAGCATGAAGAGGAACCTGCAGATGGCATAAGCGAATGCCAAAACGAGCACGGACCACCACAATGCCATCGAGAATTCGCCGATTCAGAGCGTCGCTTGAAGGAAGAAAACCACCTCGCTAGGGTTTCAGATGCTAGAGGCACATATAAAGTTGCAGAGAGAGTATTGATTCAGGACAGTGGCCGAAGCCACTCAAGGAATCTGCGAAAGCTTTGAGATGACGATGGAGAGAAATAAGAAAGGAAACAGAACTAGAATTTATTACTTGCGATCGGAAATATGACTTTTAAGCCCTGCAGCCAAAATCAGATTCGATGTGCTTCCCCTTTCCTTCCTCTCACTCATAGAGCAGAAATGAGATTTTTAGTGTATTTTGCGTAGAATTGCAGAAGTGAGGTAAGTCAGATAACAAGTGTTGAACATTAAGAAAACTTTCTCACATTTTTTTTTGGCGTAAAAACATTTTTAAAACATTATTATATTTCTCACATTATTATATAAGCTAGAATTCTAAGCTACTCCTCCGGTCCTAATTATAAGACCCAATTGACTTATTTGAGGAGATTAAGGAAGTAAGTTAAGTTGATTATTTATAATAAATAAGTGTTGTTATTCCTAAAATATCCTTGCTAATTAAGTATATTGGCTAAAACTATCATTATTAGAAGGATTATCTTTGAAAAAAATATATAAATATAAGAGATAAAATGGATTGGGTCTTATAATTAGGACCAAATAAAAAGTCAAATTGGGTCTTATAATAAGGACCGGAGGAGTATTTCCTAGCTAACTAACATGCAAATATTTTTTAAAAAAATTTGACTTTTTTTTTTTGGTTTTCGTTTCCAAGTCAAAATTTTGAAGTGAAATGGAAAATAGATCATAAATTAGTTTCAAAATTCAGGACCGTGTAATAAAATCTTATAATCATATTATTACATATAATATTTGATATTTGATTCTCTGTACAGATGTATTTAAAAGAAATAATAATTTACCTTCCCTTGCACAGCCATACTAAATGAGAGTTTATAAAGATAATTACAAAGCGTCAACAAAAAGTCTTTACTAAAATAAAAAATTAATTAAAAAGATGAAATTATTTTTTTCAGGGGTTGAAACATAAAAAAACCATATTAAAAAAAGGAACCCGCACCTTTTTTCACCAGCGATGATAAAACTTTTATTAAGCAGAATAACACCCACCTAGAATATTATGACAATAATAAAAATTTTATTCATGCTACAATAAATTGAACATCATGTCAGTAGATATAAAATTTATTTTAAAAAATACCACCATTTTATAAATAATAAATAGCACAAATATCTCTTCTTCTTTTTTGACCGAAATAGCACAAATATCTCATGTTTATATTATACATGATAATATAATCTTAATTTGAAATTAAATAATGTCATGAATTTCTTATATTTTAAAAACAAGCTAATCGATAAATAAATACCATAGTTTTGTAAATAATTCTTGTGTCATTAATCTTTCCGATATTTCATCAGAAAATCATAATATGGCAATGAATTTATGCCCACATGACTCAAAGTTTAAAAAGGTAAATCAACACAATAATTAACAACATGAAGATTATTTATAAGTTTATAAAAAAAATTATTTATTGTTTTAAAGTTTTTTTTTAATAATTTAACCTTAATAAATGACCTGCTTGCCGCGACATGGCTCTTCCATTTTTGTCACAAGTCGTGCGTAACTGTGCGCGCGCTTATCGCTTGGTCTTCGACTCGATTCTTCTGCCTCGAATTTTGGTTGTTTTTTCTTCGCCGTTAACTTGAAGGATCGAATAATCAAAGAGCATTTGGTAATACAATAAGCGAAGAAGTGGTTTCTCTCGTAACGCCAGGCTTCGCCCACGTCCATGGATAAAGCTCAAGAATCTTCTGGAAGAAGAGTGGGGGTGGCTGTGGATTTCTCACCGTGCAGCGATCTAGCACTCAAATGGGCGGTGGATAACGCCGTTCGCGACGGAGATACCCTCATCCTCGTCGTCATTCTCCCCGAACAATTCTACGAGCACGGCGAGATGCAGCTTTGGGAAACTACTGGACCTCGTAATTAATCTCTATCTCTGATCTCTCTCTCCCGCTCTGTTTCTCGGGAAAATTTTCACGGTTGTGCTTGGGCAGGCAAATAGACATTTGCGCGAATTTGAAACTTTTGAGAAGATCTATAGTCTGAGTTTTAAAGGAATTGGCAGTGGAATTTGTATGTACATTACTCAAATTGAGGAAAATTTTGCACAATTTAGCCAGAAATTGTTTACATGGAAATTAATTTCATCTCCCCCTGAAATTACTTCGAAAGATAAGAATGATGAAACACCAACTTGACAGACAATGTGCTCTGATAAAGTCAGGATTATTATTCTTGTTCTGTCTATATTTGGCCATCACAATCAAGGGAGTGTTCTTGATCCTGGTCTAATGTATCCAGCTCTGATACCTGCAAGCCAATTCACCGATCCTGTTGTAATGAAAAAATATGGGGTGAAACCCGAAGATGCAACTCTGGATATTGTCAAAAATGCAGAAAACCAGAAGAAAGAGGTACAATTGCTTTTCTTCTCTTATTCTTTTTTTTGACCTGAGCTTTTCTTCTCTTATTCTAAAGTGTCCTGGTATATGAATAAAGAAAATCATGTTTTTCTAATTGGGATCCGGTTCCACTGGAATTTGGATTATTTTCTTAAAAAGCATGGATAATCTAGAAGAAATGTAATAGAAACTATTATCAAAGAATATATTAGAGTCTTAAATTTTTAAACTTAAATAGCTTATTACAACTTGGTGATAATCCAAGGAAATAAAAATCAGCAAACCAAATCCATATGAAGTCTTGGAATTGAAGATTCTCGATTGTATTTGTTATACAAGACCCAAGACGGGAAGCAGTAATATTTACCATTTTGTGAACAATTCCAATATTTATTTTTAATATAAGAATTAGCTAGGATTGAATTTGGTCCTAAGATAAAACTTTAATCTATTCGGTTTTTCATATTTTTTTCAAAATATTTTTATTTATCATGAGGGGTTTTTTTAGGAAATTAGTTCAATCATCCAATACACATAATTGAAAAAAAAATAATTTAAAAAGACTAACACAACAAATAATTAACTTAACTAATTTTTTTATATCCCAAATTACTTATATAACTTTTATATTAAGTATTGAAAGTATGTAGTAAATATATATATATTGATTATCATTAGCAAGAGTACCAGCATTGTGATTTACATATACCTCAAGAAAGAAGCGTGATTTGCTGAAAATAATGTTCGGTAATTAAAATGAGCAGGTTGAGATAGTGATGAAGGTCTACTGGGGAGATGCGAGAGAGAAGTTATGTGAAGCAATTGGTAACATACCTTTGGACTTCCTCGCGGTAGGGAACAGAGGCCTTGGCACCCTCAAAAGGTACCAATCTGCTGTATAACTCGTGCGTTTCCCCTCTATTATCTTCAAATAACTAGTCTGTCTATAATAAAAAATCAGTTAAAATTAATTAAAAATAATACTAATAAATAGGTAAAAATAGACTTTTATTTTTAAAATAATATCTTTATAATAAATTTAAAAAATGATGAAAAAATGCATGGGGAAATGTAATGAAAGAATGTATGATAAAAGATTAAAAGAAAGAGAAAACAAATAATTAAGAGCAAATTTAAAAAAATACATTAAATGTTAAATCAAACATAAATTGAAGCTTATAAAAAAATGGATCGCACATATTTTTCAATTTTAAACCTTATAAATAAGAATGAGGGAGTTTATATAGCATTGTTTTATTATTTACCTGTACTTACTAAATTAATGGATAATTTGAGTGGCGCAAACAGTGAAATTAGTAAACTAAGGTTTTTTTTTTTTACCATCAAACTAAGGTTATTGTTTACACTTTAATAATTTAATGATAAATTATACTACTTCCAGTCATAATTATAAGAGTCAGTTGACTAATTTGAAGAGATTAAAGAAGTAGGTTGCGTTAGTTATTTGTCCTAAATAGGTGTTGTCTTTCCTAAAATATCATTGCTAATCAAGTGTATTAACTAGAACTATCATTGTTAGAAGAACTACTTTGGAAAATATATATATAAATATGAGAGACAAAGTGGATTGGGGTCTTATATTTAGAACCAAAATAAAAGTCAAATAAGGTCTTATATTAAGGACCGGATGTAGTACTTTACACTAAAATGAAATAGCAAATGCTTGATTTGGATGATTAATTATTGCTTCGTTATTGTTTCTTCTTGCAGGGCGTTAATGGGCAGTGTAAGCAATTATGTTGTGAATCATGCCTCTTGTCCCGTGGTTGTGGTGAAATCCTCTGATCGGCACCCTTAATTTTAATTTTTTGTTTTTGACCGGAACACTTAATTTTTATTTTTGCCGTCTTCATCAAATATTAATTAGAGTAATTAGTCTTGCATTTATAAGGAGTTCAGAATATTTCCAAATATTGTCAACTTTTATATTTTTTTAAAATATTGTATATTAATTAATATTATTTAAATAAAATACAAAAATCACAATTAGTATTATTATATTATTTATTGATTATCATCATTATTATAATTTTATTGCTTAAACTTTGTATAAAAATTAAAATATGATACGTGCCCCTCCCTATTGATGAGAGAAAAAAAAAAAAAAAGGTATGCAGATTAACTTATTTGGAGAATCCTGATAAGTACTTAAAAAAATATTTTAAGATAATCTGACTTAAAACTTATCTCATACACCACAATGCTACAATGGATAATCACTTAAAAATAAGATGATCTAAATTAATTCAAACTTCTCTTGCATAGCACTCCAATGCCTCCAACTTATAATGAAGTATTTTTTTTCAGGCGCATCCCATGTCCTAACATATTTTGTAGTTTAATTTCGTCATAAAATATTATAATATCAAGCATACTTGAAAAAAATACTTTAAGGGTGTGTGTTTGGTTGGAGGGGAGGGGAGGGGAGGGGAGGGAAAATGAACCCCTCCCCTCATTTGGTTAAAAATTTTGGAGGGGAGGGAGCTAAAATGTCCCCTCCCCTCCCCTCCCTTCCCTCCCCTCATTTTGGCTCCCCTCCAAATTGGGGGTTTTTGGAGGGGAGCCAAAATCTTAGACCATTATGCCTTTATGGTTTTTTTAATATTTCACTTCTACCCATAAAATATATTATTATAATATTTATTTCAAATAAAAAATATATTATCCTAAGTAAAAAAAATAAAAAATATATACATTATTTAATTAAAAATATATTATAAAAATTATTCAAAAATAAAAAATATTTAAATAAAAAATTATAATATTATAAAATTAATTGTTTTTTATACATATATTATTTATTAAATATATTTTAAAGCTGGAAAAAAAGATAGCCTAAAGAAAATAAAATTTCATTTTTCTTATAGCATATAAAATTTGTTAATTTGATTATTTTAAATATATTATTATATTAATTAGAATAAAAAATTACTATACCAATTTTTTAATACACATATTAACATGATAAGACTGAATTTTTATTAAATTATATAATTTAAATTAAGATGTAAATTAATTTATATAATATATCAATAAAAAACATAAATTAATATGTAAGGATAAAATGATAAATTGATTATTACTATCCCTCCCCTCCCCTCCTTGAACCAAACAAGGGATCATAAAAGCCCTCTCCTCCCCTCCTTTTTAATCAAACCAAACAAGGGGAGGATGAAACCTCCCTTCCCCTCCCCTACCTCTCCCCCCCTCCCTCCCCTCCCCTCAAACCAAACAGGCCCTAAGGTGCTTGATGATTTAATGAGCCTTAACCTAATTTGTTTCATTTTTATATCATATTCAAGACTTTTTTTTTTTTATATTGTTCTTAATTAATACATGCATATACACATATATATACACACAAGACCCAACAATTATCAAAAGGAAATATATTTGACTCCACGTACAGTTGTCAATTTGTAAGACCCTATCTCTATGTACGTACTCCCTCCGATTCTTAATATAAGAGTTAATTGATTAATTTAAGTAAATTAAGAAAATTTGTTAAGTTAGTCATTTGTAATAAATAAGTATTGTCTTTCTTAAAATATCATTGCTAATCATATGTATTAGTTAGAACTACTATTTCATGAAATCTTTAACATGTGCAACTACTATAAGAATTATTTTGAGAAAAAATGAATAAATATAAAAGACAAAATAAATTGAGATCTTATATTTAGAGCTAACTTAAAAAGGGACAATGACAAAAAAAGAAGTTGAAATTTTGTAAATGCCAAACAAGAAATGTCAACCAAAATTTGTTATCATTTGTAAGTTCAGACTTGTTAATACCAAATAAAATTGTGTTACCAAATCTGATTTGGGATTTGTAATTTCTATCTTCTTATGTCATTCTCCCAATAAAAAATGAAGTTAATTGTTATATTAAGGACATGAGGTATTATATAATTTAATGATTTAATGATTTGTTTCTTAAATTATCAAATCAATCAACAGATTGATTGAGATCATTAATTAGACAAAAGAAGGAAACAAGAGGAGAAATCATTACTTCACATGGATAACATCTTCAGAATATACAAGTAATTACACTCAAAAGAGTCAACCCAATAAGATCGAAGGCTACCATGAGCTGCCAATTTCGAACCAAAAAAAAAAAAAGACACAAAAAATCTTAAATAATGGCGGCAAACTTATCATGTACAGAGCAAATAAATAATTTCCTTTTTTGTTTCTCAATCAGTAATTAATTTTGAATGTCTGTACAGTGGTCCTGCGCTGCAAAAGATCTTAAAATCCTCTTATAAGACATTAAATGGTAACCAATCTAAGATTCTCTCAATTAGCATCACAATCTCAAATTTGTGTTAAGTTTATTTTTGGAAATTAATTAATAATTAATTTAATTAATTTGATTTGCATCGCCAAACGCCATATATATATATATTTATATATATATATAGGTGTGTATATCAAGCTTGCGCCTTCGCACTTCGATGTACTTCACTCTCTGTTTCAGTACAAAACCTCATCGTCCAGGTAGGAAAGTCTCTTAAACTATTCGAAACCCTAACGTAAACGATATACGCTTCAAACCCTAGCCATGGAAATTAGTTTATTCATGTTGCTTGATGATTATATATTATTGTTTCATGAGTTTCTTTGTTACTACTAAATTTTGCAGCAGTTGGATTATTATTGGGTGTAGAGAGAGAGAGAGTGAGGGAGAGATGTCATCGTCGACGAACCCACCACCGTGTGCGGCTTGCAAGATGCAGAGGAGGAAATGCACGCCGGGATGCGTGTTTGCGCCATATTTTCCGGCGGACAACCCTCGGAAGTTTGCTTGCGTACACAAGATCTTTGGGGCAAGCAATGTGGCCAAGATTCTGAACGACATTAACGTGGTGCAGCGTGAAGACGCCGTCAGATCCTTAGCTTATGAAGCCGAGGCCCGCCTCCGGGACCCCGTGTACGGCTGCTTCGGCATTATCTCCGTCCTCCAGCACCGCCTGAATCAGCTGGAGAGTGAACTCATCGACGCCAGAAAAGAACTCGCCGCCTACATTGATCAGCAGGCCTTGCTTCCGAACCACATAATGGGATTCAATCGGCAAGAACTTTTGACTTTCAACTTCGCTGGAGGCGGCGGCCATGACGGATACCCAGTGGGCCAAACCCACGTCTTTCATCGTCAGGTTGAAGCACATCATCAGTTCGAGGTGCAATCTCAGCAATGGACGTTGTCACAAAAAAGTATGGGTCCATATACCCGTGCGTTACATGGAATCTGACGATTTTTTTAAGAAAAGAGCAATTTATTGATTCTGAATCTTAATATCTCATGTTTGGTACAGAGTTTTTTTTTTCCCATTAAAACATTAACTGTATGAGATAACAAGCAGTATTAAACTTACCACCTCACACTCATAAAAAGGCTATAAGGCCGATGGCATGATACACGTTTTCGTTCTCTCGTATGCTGGAATGTATAATCAATTGTCTCAACATTGCTATGATTACCAATGAGAATTGAGTTTAGCAAAAAAGATTAGTCTCCCACGACATGATGAATTAAAGTTCAAATTCCTATTTCGATAATGTTTTGACATAATTGCCTCCATAGAAGGATACTTGTGCCTACCAAAAAACAAAATTATTACCATTAGTAATAGTATATTTGACCTAGAAGGACTCTAAGGAGGTGTTTGGGTAAGATCAAAATCATGGTTTCAAAAGTACTTTTACAGTGTACGAGGCAAATATGTGGAGGAGTTTACTTCCATTTGTGAAAAATTGCTTTTGAAAAGTGCTTATTAGGCTTCCCAAACACCTCCTAAATCACAACAATTTTATATCATTATCTCACATTTGGTATTACTGAATCAATATTTTAGAGACCCTGATATTTATGGCTATATATTGAATTAATATTCGAATATTTTAGATTATCTGATACTTATTATTGAATTAATATTCGAATATTTTAGACAAAAATGACCTAAAGGTAAGAGAATCAAGTTGTTTTCACCCAATGCTCAAGAGTCATGATTATCGATGATCATCGTGTAATTGAACGAAAACTTAGAGCCCGTTTGACAAAAGTCCAACCAAACATTGGTACATAGATTATCACCATTAACCTTATACCATCGAATATCATATATTTGTATGTGATTGTTTTTATCTATAAATGAAGTTTAAGTCATTCTCTTAGAGTTCGAAAATTAATCTCAAGTTTAAAGTGACTACTTAAAAAAACAAAGGTTTTAGCTCTTAACCTCCTAAATGAAACCAAGTTTTTTTTTTTTTACTCGATGCCTTAATTAAAAATAATTATACTTATATTACTGAATTGAATAGAAGGTCTATGACATGTATGCATGGATATATAGGAGGAAGATACACACATATATATAAGAGGTGCACATATATTACCTACGCCATTAAAACTAAGTACTACTCCCTCTTGTACTTTTTATAACAACTTTTTCACATATACCTATAAAAATAATTAAATTTATTATCAAACTTGAGTTATTTTCCATATTACTTTTATTAACTACATTAATGAAAGATAGAGGAATGAATCATCTGCTGAGGAGCGAGGACAGAAATCAATTAGCTAAGTTAGGAGTGTGATTTTCTGGAACAAGAACATGAAAGTCAGAAATCAATCTGTTAACAACTTGGCTTTGAAAACTTAAAATCATAATGAAGATATAATTAGTCTGCATCAAATTCAAATCCACGCCCTAGAAGCGGATTGTATTTGTTTGTTTTGTACTCCTTCTGCTTTTATATATAAATTTCAAATAATGCAATCATATTTAACGAATTAATAGTTAAAATTAGTTAAAATAATAAATAAGTCAGAAATATATATTTTTTTAAATTTTTCTTTATTTATCAAGAGAATAAATAAGAAAGACAATAAATAAAAAAATATATGAAGCTAATATCAATAAAAGAAAGAGAATACTAAATACAGTAAACTAAAAACAAAATAGAAAAAAATAATAAATGCTTAGATAAATTTAAAAATACATATAAGAACGAATGGAGTATTTTTCAAGCTCTTGTTATCTTTTCTTTTCGAAGAAAAAGAAGGAGAAGAAGTGAAACATCAATTTATCCCCTTCGACTGAACCAAACCAAAACGCTAATCCAACACTGAAATCGATCTGCAATTCAACAGATTACCCTAAGATTTGCGTTTCCAGGGTCTCCCCCATGCTTTTCCCTGGCGACGGCGACGGCGTTAACCCAATGTCGGTGCTCGAAGCTTCCACAAAGGCCTGCATCGAGCCGCTGCAAGACGCCGTTTCGAACCTCTCTTCTTTTTGGAAGATGCTTCTCATGCGTTAACCGAGTGCAAGGAATATTACAGGGAGGGTTTGGATAAACTACAAAATGCATTGGACGCACTTCATGCGAGCGACATCAAGACCGTCAATAGCCTGCTAAGCGCTGCCGTTTTGGATGTTTTGACATGCGACGATGCGTTTAAGGACTTCAAGGAGTCACCAGTGGCGGATCTCAATGAATTGATTAGCAAGATGGCTCGCAATTGTCTCAACGTTGCCTCGTTGATTCACCACTAACTGTATTATAAATGAACTTTTGGTCCAAAGTGTTACAGGAGATATTGATTTTCTTTTTCTTTTAATTTATATATTCACAAAGATATTTAAATTTAAAACAGTTCAAGTGAATTTTTTGAAATTTTGATGAATGCGTTGGTTGTATATATTTGTAACATTGTTTGAGTTTATATTTAGATAAAAACATATTTAAGGAAAATATTTTTGTAATAGTTATTAGTGGAATGTAATTTGACCCAGGACCATCACCATCATCTTTACGGCACAAAATTGTTCTTTGTAAAAAAATAATAATAAGAACACAAATTCAGTTTCACGTTGTGTCCAAAATATAATTAGGAGAATTACAATGAAATTTTAAAAAAAATAAAATAATTACTAGTAAGTTTTAATGATAAATGAGCAGTTGTTATTTACTATTTGCAAACTGTTCTGAGACTTTTTAGTAATTATATTTTTTATTAAAGACTTTATAACAATTCTCCCAGTAAAATTTAATTAGATCAATTGAAAATATTTTAAATTGGTAAGAAAATGATCAACTATTTAAATTATGCTGAAATTTTAAAATTATATTACAAATTAAATAATATAAGAACGAGCAATTTTGGCACACACTCATAAAGAAATAAGATAGTTATTAATAGAATGGAAGGGAATAAAGTGACATATACAATTTATGATCCATTTTGTTTTTGTTGGAAATTCCATCTATAAAATGTGTATATAAAATTGTTAGTCCTTTAACTAATTTTTCCCTTAAAAATTGGTTTATTTTCAAGAAAAAATTACAAATAAAAACCCCTGAATATATAAAATTGCAATTTGAGACCCTCAATTTGGAAAATAGCTTCATAGGACTCGGTTCCAAATTACAAATATGAAATCTTCATGAAATATTTGAAATACCTCTAGCCAAATGACAAGTTGACTATAGAAAATGATAAATTCACTTTAACGAATGACAATTTCAGTAGACCAAATCACAATTTGACTGAGGGTATACTAAATCACAAGTTGATTATGAAAAATAACAAGTTCACTTTAACGAATAACAACTTCAGTAGATCAAATCACAATTTGATTGAAAGGCATTTCACACATTTCATCAAGATTTTATATTTGCAATTTAAAACCAGATCCTTATTTGCCATTTTTCAAATTGATAATCCCAAATCACAATTTTACATATTTGGGAGTCATTATTTGCAATTTTCTCTATTTTCAACTCAACATTCAAAAACTCTGCAACCCACGCACTAAAAATCAAGTTTTGACATCAAATCAGAGTACATTTAATTAATTAAAAACAATTATGAGCGTCACAAAGTTCAAAACTATGATTCAAGAAACAATAACGAGCAAAGAACACAAGTTCATTTATATACCTTCACTTCCCACTAGAGAAAAATTCAAGCACACTTTTAAAATGCTCTCATTTTACTGGGAACGAAGGGGGGAAAATCTTTATTGGAGCCTGAAACAAGTGCTAGCAATTTATCAGTGCATTATATAATTACTTACAATGATTAAGTATACCTAGACGATACAGTTCTATAACTATATAAGGGCTTAAAAAACCTTTTTCCGCTGGAACCAGCAAACCGCAATGAATATACCTCAAGACCCATTCATGAAAACTGCACCATGTTCGGTAGATCTAATGAACTTCTTCAGCAGAAGGACCACAATTGCAATAGTGAGTCCTATGGCAGCCACTGTGAACAAGCGATCGTCAGGTTTTTGGACCCCTGTTTCTGGCTTTGGATTCGGATGAACTCTTGTACCTGAATTTTGAGAGGGAATCTCTCTTGAAACTTCAACTCCTCCAGGGCTAGGATTTGCAGGAGGAGGCATTTCTTGTTCTTCAAGAATCCTATCACCTACTGGTTCATCTGGAAGCTCCTCTCTTGCAGGTACAGCCTCGTGATTTTGCAGATTAGTCTCAGCCTCGGCTACCTCAGTTCTAAGGTTTTCTTCAGGAGACTGTGCGGGGCTGAGTTGAGGAACAGGGGGTGCTTTGCTGAGCACGTACTCGTGTATCTGGGATAAACCAAGAACAGCCCTCAAAATCAAGATCTTTAAGTTTGTACCGTAACCTTCTAAAACTTCATATAACCTACATTCACCGTCTCTAGATTTCAATTATAACAATAACCACCTCAATTTCAAGGTTTCACATTAATTTTCTCTTTTGGTAATTTATGCTGCATTTCATTAGGCAATTAGAGCTTCCAAGAGGACAACTGCATAAACTCTACCAACAATCACGTTCATATAAGGGAGGTTTTTGTATAAACTGAAACTATAGGGGGCGAGTGAGGTTTTCGTTTTTTAAACATTCCAGACGATCAATGTAATTTACTAAAAGGACAGCAAGCAAATATACCTCATCAATCAGTTTTTGACGATCAGGAGTCCCAAATTTCGGAGGTGCTTCCCGAGATTTAATGGCCAGGGCACGCCTTTCTTCCTTCTTGTAATCTAATGAGCCCAATGCACCATTTGGGTTGGTCGGCATGAATGCAATCAGGGCGACTAAAGCAGTTCTCACTGCCAAAAGACATTTACATAGGCTAAGTCACAACATTCTTCCATCAGAGATATAATATGAAGCTTCAATACAAACTCCATAATCAGTAATGGTAAGCTTAAACGAACCAAGAAATATTTTCTCAGCCTGGTTATTTTATATATATTTAAATTACTATTAATTTGTTTGATCAATATTTCTCAGTATGAGAAATAGCTCCCACCTTCTCCCATGAGGTAAGCAAAAGATATCATGATTCACGAACCCACCGGATGAACTGATGATACAAGAATAGCTACGCAACTTCACTTGTAAAGTAAAAATTATGTCCTCATACAGTTCAATCCCGCATATATGATTTCAATGTTTCTTGAAATTTAGACCACTCCACACTCAACTTTCAAAGCAGCAATAACAAAATAATTAGCATTGCATCATGAATCTTAGTATCTAAACTGATCAATCACATAAAAAAAATAACATAAAACAGAAACAATAAAGGAATATCAATTACCACTCCATGATGGTTGCCAATGCTCAGGATGATGATTTGATATGCTCAAGCAAATCTTGGTTTGGGTCTCAAAACGTCCATTCGGCTGATAGCACAACAGTGAAATTTATAAACATTTAGGAATTGAGCCTTCAAATGTAAGAGTTCCAACATATAAGATGGTTCAGAAAACAGAACTAATCAAAGATGGATCTACAATAGTATGACATAAAATCTAATCGATCCATATATTGGCAGAAAACCTTACCGTCAATAGCATAAATGAAGGTGGTTTGAATGGATATTCTGCAGGTAACTGGATACGTCCATGGTAAATACCACCCTCAAATTCAGTATCAGCAGGTCCTCTAATTGCGAATTGCCACTCAAAAATATTTTCCTGATGAAATTAAAGTTTGAGAAAATACTCTAATGTACAAGAAGAACAAAAGCATGATGTTCAATAGTGGAATAAATAATTAAAAATAGTAACAGAAAGGCTTCAAGATTTTTTTTTTTTGGGGTCACATGAAAGAATAGCATTATTTCAGTGGAAAGAGATGAAAATCTCCCCATTTTATACATTTAAATAAAGCACGAAGCATGTATCTTTCCAACATAACCCAGTCACTCTGAAATGTGTATTTGAATAAATCGACGGAACGGAATGTGGGAGAAAGACAGAGAATAAGGTGCTCCGAAACTAGAGGAAAGCAAACAGAATGATAAAGTTTCATGAGAAATGTTATGCTATAAAAGAAGAAATTCAATATACTTTCCACCCTACTTTGTTCCTAAACATGCATCCACAAGTTTCAATACCGCAATGACGGACTGACCATCATCCTTTATGCTACTCCCTCCGTTCCTTATTATAAGAGACATTTGATGCTTATGGCATGTTCCTATATATAAGAGACACTTACAAATTGTCTCTACTTTTTTGTGTTGATTTACTATTTTACCCATATTTATTATTTCCAACTCACACTCTCCCTCCCTCCCACTTCTCTTTCTTTTAATAATTTAATTGTTCTCTCTCCTTATTAATGAGGGCATTTTTAGAAAAAAATTATACTTTTTACACATTAATTGTTCTTAACTAATTTTAACTGTTTTTTTATCAACGTACTTCGGTTATTTGTCTCTTATAATAAGGACGGAGGGAGTATTATTCTATACAGTAATCGAAACTGTAATTTTAATTTTACTCACCCGCAAAAACTCCTGCCAGTGAACAAAGAAGCAAGACGTTAATTTTTTCTTTTTTTTTTTTTTACCAGCTCCACATAAGTGGGACGCACAAATATCGATTCATAAGATTCCCATAGACAATTTAATCTCGATTCACAAATCTCATCACGATTAGGCGACGACCACAATTCCAATCAATTAATTGTAACGTCGTTAGGTTTCGAGATAACGAATTATCAGTTAAGATCAAATTTAATGAACTGCAACCAACGAACAAACCTGAGTTCGATAATTCCAATAATCAATATCACATGATCAGATATAGAAAGAGAAACATTAAGCCCATTCAAATTAAGGAATTAACACAACGGATCTCGCTTTTCAAACCCTAATATAATTAGGACCCCAAGCAAAAGCAAGATTAGTAGCATTAAAAACAAAAAATACCTCAAGTGGCAGGCTCATGAAATCATCAGAGGGGTTCGATTGCATCTCCTTGACCTCCTGTAGAATCCGCTTCACTGCCGGGTTCTTCAAATTGTACTTGTCCGCCATGAGTCCTCAACCACTAACTTCGTACCAAAAATTCAATATAAATTTCAACAGACGCGAAACCTCCAACTTCGTCGGCACCGTCAACACCTCGTCAAAACACCGCCTCCACCCCCCGTGCGTCACAACAGAATTCCGGCGAAATTTTATCCAGGAGATGATCCCGAGAGTGGAAATGGCATTAATTATAGGGAAGAACCAGAAGGGAAAACGTTGGCTCTTCACTGGACACGTCATTCAGCACCCGCTGTCCCACGTGTCTTTATCTTATTGGATGAAGTGATGCAGGCTTTCGAATGCGCGTTCCCTGACTCGTCATTGATCCCATTGAAACGCGGCTCGAGAATAACAATGATAATTGAATCGGGTCGACCCAGTTACCGTTAAGACCATTTACATGAAAATAGTAATATTGAAATAAAATTATATAAATTCACAAATAAATTAGATATTATGAAAAAAAGTAGACTTTCTAAAATACAAGTTGACCAACTATTATCTGTTAAACTCAAAACTCCATTGTTTCGTACTGAGTAAGAAGAGGAAAAAATATATAACATCTATTTTTTGGCTAAAAATATAAAATCTAATTTGGTTAATCCGTTCAAAACTTCTCATTAAATCGGTCAAAAGAATGATTCACTGATTTACCAACTTGATTAATGGGCCATTTTGAATTTTAATACAATGTTTTTTTTAATCTTTTAGCATGAGTGAATTGTATCCTTGATTAGTTGATGATATATAAAATTCATAAACTAGTGTCTAAATTTTTTACATAATAAAAAAGATTTCATGGGTTATTGAGAATTCTGAGGAATTAAATTATTACTCAACAAATTCAAATCGTTAAAGGATGAAATCTCTTTAATATCAATTTTAGAAAAGAAATATTCCATTTTTGAAGAATTTTAATTTAAAAAGGGGTCAACTCTTAAATAAAACAAGGTCAACTTTCTATTGAAGGGTTCAAAACACGGTAACAATCAATTGACATGGCAAGTTACAAGCTGACGTGGATAACATGAAACGTGATAAGCTCGTAAATAAACATTCCACAAAATATTAAAAGTGGGAATTAGGGCCAGCCCAATTTACACGAGATGGCCATGGTGAGCCGAAGCAAGAATGAGTTGGACTGAGTCGGCGTTTTCTGATTTCGATAAGGAAAAATATTTGAGGAAAAAAGTTCACAATGACAAATTTAAATGAAAAAGCCAACAGAGTTGAGCCTAGTAGTGAAAGAGGCTAATTCTCTACAAGGTGATAATCTAATATTTAAATTTCTATTGAAAAAAATGTTCACATTTAGTGCTCTAAAGTGTTTCGAACAATATTGTTTCTAATAAAAGAATACATATACCTGCCCAAAGAAAAAAAATAAAATAAACTGCTGGTTTTATGTAATATTTGGTCTTTCAAAGTCTGCATAAATTTTCTTGTAAAAAAGAAAAAGTTTGCATAGATTTTGGTTTTACTTCTTTGAGTTTTAAATCACAGATTTTGATTTTTTAAGGAGAAAAATGGTCTATATTTTTATTAAATTGTATGGACCATCATTTTAGATAGAAAAAAACTTGAGGAATCAAAATAAAAATGAGGACAAACCTGAGTCATAAAAATCGTATTAACCCTAGATTGTTAGGACGATACAAAACTATTCCACAACATAATGTTATTCATCTTCATAATCAATAATGATACTTCAATCTTGCTATTAAAAAAAAAAATTTGAAATTGATTCCTCATCTTTATTCTTTTGGGCTAAGTACATGGCCTAATGGATTTGGCTCATATATAACTGTCATGAAATGTAAGAATTTTATGGGTGAATAATTTGTAAAAATCCTTTTGTGTGAATGATATTTAGTTTGAGTCCAGCGCTCCCCATTGATTGTAATAAAATAAGGAGAGAATTACAATGAGATTCTAAGAAAAAAAAATAATTATAAAATAAATCCTAAGAGTTATCATTTTCTATTCTGAATTTATCATTACAAACTGTTTAAATTGTTATTTAGACTTTTTAGTGATTATTTTTCTTTTTTAGGATCTCATTGTAATTCTCCCTAAAATAAATCCCTCATAGTGAGTTAAATGTACGACTCAATTTGGACCCAACTCCATGTGTTAAATAAAGAGAGTTTTTTAATTTTAAATTAACTAGAAAGTTATGGGCAATTGCAAAAATAAATTTTATTTCAACATATTTTTGAATAAGGAAAAACCATTCTTAAGGTACCTATAATTTCATTCAATTTTTAATTTGAAATCTTTTAATTTTATTCTTTTAACATGATTAATCTCTATAATTTTGCTTTATTAATATTATCAGAATATGTGCAAAAACTAATTATACGTATAAAGTAAAACTAAATGATTTAATATAAAGAGAAAAACTCATACATATTAAATTAAAAATTAAAAGAATGATTTTTCCAATAAAAATCAATTAGTATAATGTGATATATGTTTAGATATACTTTTTTTTACTTGGCCAAAAAAAAAGATGTACTTTTTTTTTAAAAGTTCGTTCAGTAGAAATTTATTTAAATGATATATTGAAAAATCGGTTTTAAAAAAACTGAAAAGCGAAGAAAAGTGAAAATCCAAAAGCCATAAAAAATTATTTGAATTTTAAAGTGACTTTTAAGTAAGTTAACGCTTAAAAGGAATTTTTTTAGATGTAAATTTACTCTAAAAAATTAAAGTCGTAGTAATTTTGACTTATATCATTCAAAAACTAATGTTTAACTGTTAAAATAGTGGCATGACCGTTAATACATTTAACAGTGAAGGACAAAATTGTGATGATTTTAAACATTTGGGATAGATTTGCACCCGAAAAATTTTTTAGGTGGCCAGCCTGAATAAAAACTTGCAGAACAAATTTACAAAATACTCCTTTACCCACATACTAATTTTTTTGCTCCATTGACTTTTAAAGCTCCAAGAGTCAGTTTTCGGTTCTCAAATAATGGAATCCCAAAACAAGCCATAGTAAGAAGTAAAATTTTCAAGAATAAAATTTAGATCTCACATATCAAATTTAGATAGTACATAATTCCAAAAATTTTTGAGATTAAAATTTAATATTTAAAAATTGCAGTTAAAATATTATCCTTTTTCTTATATTCAGCGCCTCGTAACTTTAAAAAAAATAGAACATTTAAAAAGAATGCAATATAATTTGAAATTGTTTTGTTTAGGCAGATACACAGGTCTTTGCTTTGACGCTTTTAATAACAAGCGGAATGGCAAAAAGGGTGATAATTTATATTAACTTTAAAATGTTTAATGCACATGAGTTCATGAGGACAGCTTTTTTAAACAAAAATAATAATAAAGCACAAAAATTGAATAAACTATAATAACGAAAAGATTTAGTTAAGAAATTGTTGGTTGCACACATTCCACGCTTTATTAAAAGAAGCTCACTCTTATAATTTCTTATTACTCAAATCATCATATGAAAAAGCCTTTGCTAAAAGGATTATTAATGATAACTTTAACAGACATACAACACAAAACAAGTACCACGTAGGGACCCAAGAATCCCTAGCCAGAAAATGTGTGTACATGTGTTTTTTTGTTTTTTAAAAAAAAGCTATTTATTTGACCCAAGAATCCCAAGATTAATTAATTAAAAAAGCTTGTGTTAATTTTTTTTTTTAATCTTTCTCTTGCTATAGTTGTTCATCATGAACCCTTTTGACCTCTGGTTTAGCTTCATCCATGTTGAACCGACATTGCCTCTCTTAGTCATATTAGGTTAAAATATTAATTAGTCTAATTAAACTAATCTTGTGGAGATGTAGAGGAAGATTTCAATCCTCTCGATTTAAGTTCTTTAATTTTGAAATTTTATGAAGTTTCTTGGTTTTTGCAGCTTTCCCTCCCCAAAATTTTGTGTTGATATTCTTATCATTTATTTAGAAAAATTAACGTACACTAACTAATTTTTTTAATTTTTATAAATTAATTATCTAACTTTTAAAGACGGCAAAAAGCATATATATATATATATCATAAAAATTTTACCATATTGTTAGCAAATATCTCTCTATATATAAAGTAGGCAGAATTTTAAATTACACAGTTATCATTCATGTAAAATTTTTCAACTTTATCAATTATGAAAAAAAAATTCATATTTATATTACATTCCAGAAAATAATTTAAGCAAACAATATCATTTTTTTTTTTCAAAAAACAATCCGAACATAACTTTGCATGGATTCCTGACAGACCTAACAACCCACATACATCCCATGACTGCACAAAATGTCTCCTTTATGTCTCTAGCTTTTTAATTAGCTTAAAGCAGATATTGTCGTTTAATTATGGGAAAAGCCTTTGTTTTTATTAATCACTTTTGATTTATTATTAATTCCATGGATTATAATAATAATTACGCTTTTGACTTCATGAGACCACCCTATCCTTCAAGTCTACATTGAGAACTTGATGCCCCCCATATATAGAGTCTGGTTAATAAGTTGTATTTATGATAACTTTTGATATATTTTAGATTGATCGATTTAACTAAAATCGATATGGGTCCTATATAGTTTAGTGATATAAGTGATAACAATGCATCGCTGAAAGTTTTCTTTCTTTCCTTTTTTTAATTTAAATGAAATATGAAAAGAATATAATTTTCGTTATAAAAAAGAGTCACATTTATGTTTTGTAAATCGAAAAATTAAGTATAAGTCTAAAAAATTCTTATTTACAAATTAAACTTACATATTTTAAAGTAAAAATTAACAATTTATATTTATAAGTTGAACTTTCATATTTGCAAATCAAGTGATATTATTTACAAATAAAATTTATAAAAAAAAATTGAATTTCTTATAACCTCGTTATATCTAATTCTCTTACCTAGACAGCACATGGATATCAATTTTTTTCCTTGTAAATAATACGTAGCACTTCACAAATTCTATATTTTATTTTATAAAATTAACTACCACATGCATTTACACTTAACTCGATAGAAAAGAGAACCTAGAAAAGAGAACCTTTTTTTTTGTGGCCTGAAATAGAAAAGAGGACCCTAGGGCTCACGTCTCTTGAAAATAGGAAACTTTGTAATAATATTTTCTTATATATGCTTATCGATAAGCGTGATTAATATTTAATTCTTCTTATTCATGCACTT